GATGGTGGATGATGGTTCGAGAAAGAAATCCAGATCTGACCTGGACTAGATTCTTAGAGTTGTTCTACAACAAACACTTTTCCCTAAGTGTTCGAAACCGCAAGGCTACCGAATTTCATACTTTGACACAAGGCAACCGAACAGTGGCGGAATACGACCGCGCTTTTACTGAATTGGCGAGGTTTGTACCTCACATGGCCAACGATGAATACATGAAGGCCAGGAAGTTCGAGAGTGGGCTCCGCGGACCGATTCAAGACCGGGTTAACTTACATAATATGCCAACTTACGCCGAAGTGTTGGACAAAGCCATTCAGGCCGAAGCTAACCTGAATCGATACCAGAGAGTTTGGGGGAAAACCAGCGAAAGAGACAGAACTATGACGATCGTCGAGGACAGCCGGGCACCAAGAAGAAAACGAATATGGGCGGTGCTGGTAACCTAAGGCGAGAAGGTAGTGCTAAGCCGACGTGTTCGGATTGTGGGAAGCAACATTTCGGGGTCTGTCGACGGACGTCTGGAGCTTGTTATGAATGTGGCGAAGTGGGTCATTATGTGAAAGATTGCCCTAAGACCAAGACTGATAACAACAAGAAAGGTGAGAGTACCTCGGGTTCCGCTTAGAAGGGTAATGTTGGGAAAGGGCAGATGAGACAGGGCAGAGTATTTGCGCTAGTACCAGGGGACACTCAGAATGCTGAGACAGTGGTGTCAGGTATACTCCTAATTTGCTCCCAAGATGCTTATGTGTTAATTGATTCGGGTTCTACGCACTCGTTTGTATCTGCTAAATTTGTCGAGAAAATTGATAGAGAACTAGAGCCCCTCGATTATGTGTTATCTGTGTCCACTCCATCTGGGAGATCTATGATTGTTGCATCCATCTATAGAGCATGTGTTATTGTGATTGAGAATGTTGAACTGTTAGTAGATTTAATGCCTCTGGACATAGCTCATTTCGATGTTATACTGGGAATGGATTGGTTAGTCGCAAATCATGCATTTATTAATTGTGTTTCGAAAGTGTCACACTGAGACCCCCAAACCTAGCCGAGGTTATTTTCCAAGGGAAAGGGATAGTGCCCCCACCTTATTTGATTTCGTCCATTAAAGCCTATAAGTTAATTCAGAAAGGGTGTCGAGGCTACTTGTGTAGTATACTGAACGATCAGAGTGGAAATGTTAATCTAGCCGACATCCCAGTTGTTAGTGAATTCCCCGACGTCTTTCCGAACGAATTGCCTGGCCACTTAACCGATAGAGAAATAGAGTTTACAATTGACATCATGTCGGGAACACAGCCGATCTCCAAAACACCCTATAGAATGGCCCCAGCTGAACTTAGGGAATTGAAACTACAATTACAGGAATTGTTGGATAAGGGATTTATTAGGCCGAGCACTTCACCATGGGGAGCACCTGTTTTATTTGTTAAGAAGAAGGATGGCACACTCCGTCTTTGTATCGATTATAGAGAACTTAATAAGGTCACTATTAAGAATAAGTACCCATTACCTACGATTGATGATCTACTTGACCAATTACAAGGAGCACGAGTCTTTTCTAAGATCGACCTTAGGTCTGGTTACCACCAACTTAAAGTTAAAGCCGAGGATGTTGAGAAGACCGCTTTTCGGACAAGGTATGGCCACTACGAGTTTTTAGTAATGCCATTTGGAGTGACTAATGCCCCTGCTGCATTTATGGATTTAATGAACAGAGTCTTCAAGCCATATTTAGATGAGTTTGTAGTTGTCTTTATTGATGATATATTGATCTATTCCAAGAGTAAAGCTGAACATGAAAATCATTTGAGACTTGCCTTACAGATTTTGAGAGGCCGAAAATTGTATGCTGAGTTTAACAAGTGTGAGTTTTGGCTTCCTACTATCTCATTCTTGGGTCATGTGATTAATGAAGAGGGTATCTCAGTTGATCCTAGCAAAATTGAAGCCATAGTAAATTGGCCGAGGCCGACTAATGTGTCCGAGATTCGTAGTTTTCTGGGTTTGGCAGGTTATTACAGGAAGTTTGTGAAGGATTTCTCAAGGATTGCAATTCCATTGACGCAATTGACTAAGAAAGGAACACTGTATGAATGGACTAAAGATCGGGAGTCAGCTTTCCAGGAATTGAAGACGGGGTTAGTTACAGCACCAGCACTCGTACTTCCATCAGGTAACGAAGAGTTTCATATCTATAGCGATGCTTCACATAAGGGCTTGGGTTGTGTGTTAATGCAAGGGGGTAAAGTTATAGCTTATGCATCCCGTCAGTTGAAGCCCCATGAGAAGAACTACCCCACCCATGATTTAGAATTGGCAGCCGTGGTATTTGCTCTGAAGATTTGGCGTCACTATTTGTATGGAGCTTCTTGTCAGGTTTTTACAGATCATAAGAGTTTAAAGTACCTGTTCACTCAGAAGGAATTGAATTTGAGACAGAGAAGGTGGCTTGAATTGTTGAAGGACTATGATATGCAAATTCAATATCACCCAGGTAAAGCTAACAGTGTAGCTGATGCTTTGAGCAGAAAGTCAGATGGAAATTTGGCGTGTTTGACCATGATAGCAGTGGAGCCGACTATTATTGATGAGATAAAGACAAGACAGATGGAGGATAAATTTTTCAAGAAAATAGCCGAGGAAATTGTCACAAAGCCGAGATCAGGGTATACCATCGAAAGTCAAGTGCTCAAGTTTGAAGGAAGGTTATGTGTGGCCGACATCCCAGAGTTAAAAAGGAAGATCTTGCAAGAAGCCCACAACTCTAAATTTGCTGTTCATCCACGGAACACTAAGATGTATCAGGATGTGAAACAGACGTTTTGGTGGCCAAACATGAAAAGAGAAATAGCCGAATTCGTGTCCCAGTGTTTGCATTGTCAACAAGTGAAAGCAGAACATCAAAGACCGGTAGGACTTCTTCAACCTTTACCGATTCCTGAGTGGAAATAGGAACACATCTCCATGGATTTTGTGATTAGTTTGCCGAAGACACCGAAAGGTATGGATTCGATTTGGGTTGTTATTGATAGATTAACTAAGTCAGCACACTTTCTACCTGTTAAGACTACCTATAACGTCGATCAACTTGCCTTGTTATATGTGAACGAGATTGTTAGACTTCATAGAGTGCCGATGTCTATTGTGTTAGACCGAGATCCTAAATTTGTTTCTAGATTTTGGCAGAGTTTGCAGAGGGCTTTCGGAGCCGAGCTGAGGTTTAGTACAGCTTTTCATCCCCAGACGGATGGGCAGACGGAAATGACAATTCAGACACTTGAAGATATGCTTAGACTTTGTGTATTGGACTTCCTAGGAAGTTGGGGAACGCATTTGCCCTTAGTGGAATTCGCTTACAATAACAGTTATCAAGCTAGCATTGGCATGGCGCCGTATGAAGCTTTGTATGGAAGAAAGTGTAGGTCGCCAATATGTTGGACCGAAGTCGGAGACAGAGCTCTACTTGGTCCCGAATTGATCCAAGTAACAACAGAGAAGATTAAACTTATCCAACAGAGGATTAAAACTGCACAGAGCCGACAAAAGAGCTACGCCGACCAAAGGAGGAATGAGTTAGAATTCGAAGTTGGGGATCATGTATTCCTAAAAGTTTCACCAATGAAAGGAGTTTCCAGATTTGGGAAGAAAGGTAAGTTAGCACCTCGTTATATTGGGCCATTTGAAATTCTTGACAAGGTTAACTCCGTTGCCTACAGACTTGCTTTGCCGCCAGATTTAAGCCAGATCCACAATGTGTTTCATGTTTCGATGTTGAGGAAGTACATCCGAGATCCACTGCACGTAATTGATCATTCTAGAATTACAGTTAATGAGGACCTGGGCTACGAGGAGAAGCCAATGAGGATTATTGACAGGCAAGTGAGACAGTTGAGAAACAAATCGTTACCAATGGTAAAGGTCGAATGGAAGGAGCATTATGGCACAGAAGCCACGTGGGAAAAAGAAGAAGATGTGAGAATCCGTTATCCGGAGTTGTTTATAGAGCAAGGTAATTTAAGTTTGGGGACCAAACTTCTTTAAGGGGGGTAGGATGTAGCAACCCTCACCTTACTCTTGTCATACTTGCATACATTCATGCATGATCTTGCCTTGTTATGTTGTTTTGAAAGTCTTCCTTGCCTTGTTTTGTTTAAGTATTACTTGGATGATTTTGTTCTTTGCTCGGCGTGTAGCCGAGGTCATCTTGAGCCTAGTTCACCTTTGTACTTAGAGCTGTTTTGGAACCATTTGGTTGTTCCCACCTTCACCTCGGGCTTATTGCCGAGATGTTTTGCACTTAGTAATCCTTGTCCTTGGGCAGGCATGGCCTAGACCGAGGTGTGGCACGCCCCGGCTGTAGACACCCCATTTTTGACCGACCTTGAGACTCAGACGTCACCAGTTGAGCACTTGGTGATATTGCATAATGTGCTCGTTCAGAAGTTTCAGAGTCACGGCCGTGAGCCCTGCCTCCGGAGATGTAGAAAAGACCGCTTTCAGAACGTCCTTGGGAAATTTTTTCTATACGGTGATTCCATTCGGTTTGAAAAATACAGGGGCAACTTACCAACGGGCTATGACTGCAGTGTTCCACGACTTGTTGCATCACGAAGTGGAAGTATATGTGGATGATCTGGTGGTCAAGTCTACTGAGGCAAACCGGCACCTCTGCGACTTGGAAAAAGTTTTTCAGTGTTGCCGCAAATTCTGCCTAAAGATGAATCCTCTCAAGTGTCCGTTCAGGGTTACCGCTGGCAAGTTCCTTGGCTTTCTTGTACACCAGCGAGGGATCGAAGTAGATGGGGATGAGATCAATTCAATCATGGATCTTCCACCGCCACACTCTCAAAAGGCCTTGAAGAAATTCCTAGGCAAAGTGTCATACCTCAGTAGGTTCATTCCAGCCCTTGCTAAGATAGCCTTTTTCCTTTGGGACACTGCTGAAAGGGAATCACAAGTTTGAATGGTTGCAAGAACACCAACATGCATTTGATATGGTAAAGAAAGCACTTACCTCTCCATTTACAATGATTGCGCTACAGCCCGAAAAGCCTCTACTACTGTACTTGACCTCTACTCCTCAGTCTATTGGAGCTCTACTTGTCCAAGACATAGATGGCATTAAGAAGTCAGTCTATTACATCAGTCACAAAGTCAATGGTGCCGAGTCGCGATATACCCTAATTGAGAGGCATTGTTTAGCCTTAATCTTCATAGCGCAGAAGTTGCGCCACTATTTTTTGGCACATCCGATCCAGGTTGTGACCCGGAGTGATCCAATCCACTACTTGCTGAGAAAGCCCGCTCTGACTGGAAGAATGACAAGATGGCTCTTGGCTCTAGCAGAATATGACATCACTTGTGTTACCCCGAAGGCAATTAAGAACCAAGCACTTGCAGACTTACTTGCCCAATTCCCATCTGGTGAACATGAACCTGCAGAGGTACCCCTACCAGGTAAGGTCCATGTCTCAGCAGCTGCAGTTGAGACTTATTGGGACTTAAAATTTGATGGAGCTTCCGGAGTTGGGAAAGGTGGAGCTGGCATAACACTAACCAATCAAGCAAGAGAAAATTTTCATCTATCATATAAGCTTGACTTCGAATGTTCAAACAACGAAGCTGAATATGAGGCGTTGATACTAGGTCTAATTGCTGCCCAAAAGAAGGGCCTTCGCAAGTTGAAAATTTGGGGCGACTCCAAACTAGTTGTCAAGCAAATAATGGGTGATTTCGCCTTGAAAGAGCCTCTGTTGGCCCCATATCACACTGTGGTTCAGAGGTTGCTCACTCAATTTGATGATGTCCAAATCCAGCATACCCCTTGAACACAACCATTTTTTCGATGCCTTGGCTACACTGGGGGCAAAGGTGGATATACCAGATGATAGTATAGCCATCATCATCGAGAAAAGAATAGCACCAGCAGTATTAGCCAAAGAACATACAGAGCAAGATGCTGAGGAGTGGAAAACAGATATAATCCAGCAGTTGAAAACAGGCCAGGGAACAATTAGACCAGCAGAACTTGTATCATTTTTGCTCCTCAGAGGAGAGTTGTATTTTCGCAGTCCCAATAACTTGTTGGTATGGTGCGTCGGTAGACAAGAAGCAACTTACAGACTTAAGCCGATCCATGCTAAGTCCTGTAGAGATAAAGATATCAGTCTATACCGACGGATACAGAGGTAAGGGTATTACTGGCCAAAGATGGAAAAGGAAAGCATTGAGTTGCAGAGGCAATGTGCAAAGTGCCAGTCCCATCCTAAAGAAGAGGAAGCCCATTTCTTAAGCAGTAATGAATGGAGGTAGCCATGTATTGACAACCTTGAAAATGGCACACTACCTGAGAACAAAGTTGATGCAATCAAAGTTAAGAGATGGGCCCTCCGCTTCTTCCTTGACCAAGGCAAGCTGTACCGAAGAAACTTTGAAGGGGAACCTTTGGTGTGTTTATCAAAAGATTAGGCAAATGAGGTACCGAGGGAAGCCCACAAGACAAAGCATCAAGGAGGGTAACAATTATATGGACATCTCATTCACCTCGGCTACTACTGGCCGACAATGGACGAAGATGCTAAAAACTTTGTGAAGAGATGCCAATCCTGCCAGAAGTTTGGGAACTGGATACATGCATCAGTAGTTGAACTACATAACATCAAGACTCCTTACCCACTCCATACATGGGTATTTGACCTGGTAGGTCCTATAGCGCAACAATTCAAAGGCCACAGATGGATACTTGCAGTGACTGAAGTTAGCACCAAGTGGGTAGAGACTATACTGATGAGGAAGGTAAACAGGGCCAGAGTAGCCAACTTCATCAAAGAAAACATAATCTGTAGGTTTGACATACCCAAAGTAATATTGTCTAACAATGGAACTTTCTTTATAAATCGTCATGTGGGAAGACTGCTGGACGCCTACCAGATCAAGCACCACAAGTTTAGTCCATACTACCCCCAAAGGAACGGACAAGCTGAGGCGGCCAACAAAACTCTCATCCGAATATTGAGTAAAATGATGGATGAAGCAAGGGGCATATGGTCCGAACAACTCCCCGTAGCATTCTGGGCGTATAGAATGTCAAAGAGGAGGCTAACTCAGGCAACTCCATTTTCCCTAGTATATGGATCCGAAATTGTGTTACTAGTTGAGTTGGCAGCAAGAATGGCTATGTCAGCACACTTAGTTCCAGACAGTAGGAAGAATGACATAGAGGCAGCTGAAGAAATAAGAGATTGGGCCTCACGAGCAATGGAAAAGTATCATCAATCCACAGCTCGTACCTACAATCAATCTGTTCAACATAGGAAGTTCAATGAGGGGGACTTGGTATGGAAGACGGTGGACGCAATCATGTGGGGGCAACCAATCCCCAAGTTCTCACCTAGATGAGAAGGCCCCTACAAAGTTGCTGAAGCAAGTAGCAGCGGGTACTACAAGTTGACAAGAGTAGATGATGGGTTCAGAACTGGCCGTATCAACGCCAAGTATGTCAAAGAATATTTTCCTTAATTGTTTTTGTCCAGAAAAAAGAGTTGTAAAGTTTCTTTGTTAATACTTCCAAAGCAAAGTGTAAAAAAAATATCATATACTTAGTAAACCTGTTACTCTTATATACACTTAGTATGAAGAAAGTTTTCCATACTTAGTGAAATTTTATCCTTGTAAAAGTTTAGTCATGATGAAGTTTTGTTCACTACAAAAGTTTTGTTTATCTTTAAAAACTGTATAAAAGCAACGTAAGGATGGCGAAGAAATGAAATTCAAAGTACTACAAAATATCCACACTTTTCATTAAAGTCAAATTTCCATAACATGATTACAATGTTTGAAAAGAAGTTGTGACAGAGAAGAAGAAAAGAATAGGCGCCACAGGTGCAATGAAACAACAAAATAAAGAAAAGAAAACGGAGGAAATCATAACAAAGTCACAGGTACATCAAATCAAACCCTTCAAAAGGGAGTCCATCAGGGTCACATCTTGAGGCAGCTAGGTAACCAACGCAGAGTCTTTCTCTTTGAACTGAGCCTGGTTCTACCGATGCTACTCCAAGGCACCCTCACACTCATTGATAGTCTCCTCTAAGGACGCAATCAACACCACATTGTTTGCATGCTCAAGGAAACCATCGACTTCCGGAAGCCTATCCCTCATCGACGATAGGTCCAAACCGTTCCTCTCAAAGCCGCTTAAGTTGGCCTCAGCATTTTCCATGAACTTGCTGGAGGTTGTCAAAATCTTCTTGGTAGCAAGGTCATGAATGACGCTGGCAAGTGACTCTAGGAGCGCTATCTGCACCATAGATCCAAGAACATTAAAGGCAATAAAGGTGCCCGGATGCAACGCCTGGATACGAGCAAGAATGAGAGCAGCTTCGGAGGAGACCCAATAACTTAGGAAAGAAACTTTTCTTGAGGACTGAGAGGACTCTCTCACACCGCCGCCGGCTTCAATCACTAGAGAGAGACTGGCAGAGCGACCAAAGGTCTAAGGGCGACACACTTCCCCTGAAAATGATTGCCTAGCAGCGTTAGAATGGATAGATGCTGGTTGGTGACTGGGCGAACTAGCCTCGTGAGAAAGGCCAAAGCTACTTGCGCCATCATGTCGCTCTGAAAAGAGGTCATCCATCTAGTAGTCTCCAAAGTTCAGATTTGGTACAACAGTGGTATCCATCCTAGTATAAAAATCTTAGGATACCCTAAGGTCAGCTGACATCCGGAAAGTGAGTGGGGTACAACTCTGCCAATTGTTCAGAGGTTGCCGAAACAACTAGGTCAGAGGTTCCAGCGACAGAAGTAACAATGTGGGTGGCTAAAGTGACAGCTACCTTTGCAAGTTGGTTCAAATTTAGAAAGGCCACAACAGGAACAGTGGAAGCAGCCGCTACACTTGCACTCCCCTCAACCACTTGGACGTTTGGAAGTGGGATCTGTTGAACCAATGGAAACTCAGCGGACTGGAAGAAACCACCAGATGCAGCTCCAAAAGAAGGTGGTGTAACTTCCAGCGGCTTTCTCACGCCACGATCTTCTTTTGGGGTCTCAGGGACAAAATCATCTCCGCCGACAGAGGAACGGTCAGAGTGCACAGAATCAGCAGGGTTTGGAGGCTCTGTACCCTCCGCAACTAGACCACCCACAGCAACTTCCACAACAGGGGGAACCTGTTCATTTTCTGCAGCCTCCACAACTGGCTCAGCCTCAGTAGTTGGTGCAACTCTAACACTTGGTTCTTCTTCAATATCTAGAAGTATCGTCCTGCGGATCCTGAATCTTGTGACCCTTGTAGGAATGGGAAGGTCGTCGTCGTCGTTCGAATCTGAGGAAATTTCGATGGCAGTAGAAGAACCTCCGGGACCCGAAGGTGGTATGGTCGACGAGCCCTGAAAAGGAAAAAGATTATGTGATTACTAAAGTAAATATAAGAAGCCCAATGAAGTAATGCAAAATATTTTCTAAGTATAGATACCTTTCAGAGTCTCTTCCTACTTGGTGAGGCACGTGCCTTAATAACTGATGTCGCTGCTTCTTAGGCTGCCCTCAGTCTGGAGCGGGTCATGCGTATTGTTGTGCCGACTTGAGGAAGAGCAATTTTCAAGGGTTGAATAGACATTGCCCCAGACGGGTGAGGCTCTTCCACATCAGGCAGGGATAGAAGCTTGAAACGGCAGAATATACTAGTCTGTTTCCCTAGACCAAAGGAGAGACGAAAGGATAAGTCAGGCTGCGGAATGGGTTCTATCGTAGGGATAATGGGAGCACAGTTGCAAAAGTTGAAGAAAGAATTGAGGTTGCGGTGCTAGAACAGCCTGTTACTGGGAGTGAATGCGCCCTCTTTCCCAAGTGAGGGAAGCTCCATGAAGCCTAAGCCCTTCACAAGTAGAGCAGTATAATCACGGGCAAACCGCTGAAACCTTTAGTGGAAATCAGTCTGAGGCGAAGTGGCATGTGGGACGCCCTGATCCATTCTGAACTGCTTAAAGACCCTGTCTGGTCGATAGAGGATGCTGGACATGCCCTTTTCGTTCCACACGGGTAGAAATCCGGGGCGTATCATAGTAGCAACAAGAAGGGAGTTGGTCTGGACACTGTCGAGGGAGAAATCAACATGACGAGCCTCAACAAAATAAAATGAAACCATAGAAATGCCTGAAAGAAGCTGAGTGAAGGGGCGGAACATACACTCCTCCATGCGGTCGACGTAATCCACAAAAGGTCTATTAGTGCCAAGACCAGACCATCGAGAGAAGCGAGGGAGGGATTGGCACACTTGCCTCGTAACAGGTCAACCCTCTGCATCGAGAACGGGATGACCTTCTGCATCAATGGCTTCATCGATGAAGAAAAGCTCATGGTTTTTAGGGACAGGGCCCATATCAGGAAATCTCTCATAGAAAAAAATAGTCAGGAACTGAATGTGTACAAAGCTCTATACATCATAGCGGCCCATGGATCGCTCCATGTCCGAATGAATGAAGTCAAGGCGGAAGTATAAGTTCCCTAAGAAGAGGGGGGCCAGAGGGATTTAACTGCCGCTACAGAGTTTAACAACCACAGGAAACACCAGAGGGTTGATACTCTCAGCGGGGTTGCTAGAGAGAACAAAAAAAGAGATGAAATAACTGACAAAGGTGGCCAGGTACAAGTCGCCGTGGTAGCCCGGCCCAACTATAGAGTTGCGGCTCTCCTCTGTGATGTCGCCCACAACTGGTTGCAGGCCCTTGAAGAAATGCTTGAATCAGGAAAGATAGGTGGTTTTGTCCCTCTTAGGTCTCTCCTGGAGCAGTTCCCCAGACTTAAGGTCGTACCAGGGGCCATACTTTCGCGCCTCACGAAAGGCGCCTTGGAGAACAGTGACAGCAACTTGTTCTGCAGAAGTCAGGGATGCTGGATCGAAGGGGTGATCTCCATGGGTGCTCAAGCGCAGAAGGACGGCAACATCTTCCAGGGTTGGGGTTATCTCCCCCCATGCCAAGGCAAAAGTGTGAGTGTCGCGGCTTCAGCGGGAGGCAACCATATCAGTGTTGGTCTGTACCTTGCGCACTAATAACTCCCTCGAAATCAAAATGACATTAAAGAGACGAACATCCCGCATGCATTGCTTGAAGCCACCATCTGCAATGATGTCATCAACCCAAAGGGACCAGTTCGCTCGCTGGGGGATGACTAGTTTTTTGGCACACCCCTACACATAACTTACCTTATTAAACCACACAGGCTAAGTTGGTACGGGATGACTAGTTTTTTTACACACCGCTACACATAATTATCCTTTAAAAAATAAAAAAATAAATAAATTAAAAAAAAACCCAACACAGCCCAACAAATAAATTTAAAAAAAAATACAAAAACAAAAACAATAACCAAACTCACACAAGTCAACAAATAAAAATAAAATTAAAAAAAAATAAAAAAACAAACAAACAAAACAAAACAAAACATTAAAAAAACAAAAACAAAAAAAACAACAACAACAACAACAATTTGAGGCATTCGAGCCTTGATTTGTCGAGGCCCATAGCACTGTCGATAGGCTATCCACACTATAAAATTTCTTTTTCAATCATTTCCAACGCTGAGATTATACAAACTCAAAATCATATTTATATTCTCCATTCAAATTTTTTGTCATACAAATTTAAAATCTCACAAATTTTGTCAAAGTTTTTTATTTACTATTTATTTATAGACAATCACTCTGTTTGATTTTTATTTTCAACATTTATTTTTTTTTTAATTTTATTTTTTATTTTCACTGAATTTTTTTAAATATTTTAAATAATTTTTTTTTAATTTTTAAACACACCTAATATAAATACATTTACAAAATATAATATTTATGAATTTTTTTAAAAAAAAATTCACTAAATCTAAATACTAAAAATATAAAAAAAAATATATATAAAAATTTAGAACATTTATTTTTATTTTTATGTATTTATTAATTTTTAAAAATATTTTACTATTTAAATACATTTAAGTAAAATATATATTAAAAAAATATAAAAAAATTACTTAAAATTTAAAAATATTCAATAAAAATAACAAAATATAAAAAATAAATAATTTAACTTTCAAAATTAAATTCAAAAAGTTAAAACCAACCACACTAATATTATTTATTTGTAATTCACTCTCACAATCTACACTCCAAAAGCAATATGATCACACACACACAATAGCATTACTGGGCACAAGAAATTAGGGTTATTCAGCAATCTCAAACTACAAGAGAAAATTCAAGCAAATCCTTTGTTTTTATTTTCCAGGAAAATTAACCTTCTCCAGAACAGAATCACAGCGCTCGAATTTGCTTTCATTCACTTTCTCGACAGAGTCTGAGAATTTTCTCTTCTCCTCTCGTTCACACTCATCGCAACCACTCGTCCCATCAAAAATCATATAGACATAGAAAAGAAAAGCACTGCCAATCGTCGCAACAAAGAAGAGAGACAATCCATACCCTGAATGAGGAAAATAGGGTCCGAATTGGAACACGACTCCGAACATAATCGAAGAAAACAAGAACCAAATGGCGAATTTCAATAAATTCTTCTTGATCGATTTCTCGTGAGGAGGCAATTTCTGGTACGCCAAAGAACAGCGATCTAACAAGAGAAAAGCAGAGTAAGCGCAGACGATGAAGAATAGCAAGGCATAGTCGGATCGACTGTAGGCTCTGCACATTGCTCCGATGCTGTTTGATGCTAAGAAAAAGTAAGTGATTGAAGGGAAGAAGCTTGAGTATTCGCGATTGTTGCTGGTTCGGTGAGTAGTTGTGTTGTGAGACATTGGGATTGTTGATGTTGTTCTTTTTCTCGGAAACGTTTTTCGCATTATGTGACACAGAATTGTGATTGTTGTCGTTGATGTGAGTTTATAAGTTTGATTGTTCTATATGTATACTTGTAATCTCTGGAAGAGGTCGTGTGATAATTACGCAGAAATTTCGAAGAAATTTCGAAGAAGGTAAAGTCGTGTATACCTTATGATCCAAGTGCGAAGAAAGTGAGTTGATGTTTCTTGGATATGACTTTCCGATGTACCCAAAAATAAATAATAAAAATAAATTAATTAAAAAAAGAAGAAGAAGTTTCTTGGATATTACCTGGTAGTGACTAAGAAATTCGAGTCTCAAGGTGAGAGGACGGGCCCATTTCAACTGAACTAAAACTCGGTTAGAATCGATTATATTTTTTATCATTGTATTTGAATTCATCTATATCTATATCTATATTATATTATATTATATTATTATTATTATTATTATAACCAAATGTAGTGATTTCTTAAAAAAATTTAAATTTTCATTCCTAACATCTTATTAAACTCTTTTTTAGGTGGCACATCTATTCTTCTCTCATTTTATTTTTCTATTTTTTCTTCTTTTTTTAATATATATTTTATTTCACTTTTTAATTAATTCGGACATGGATATATATAATATCATATGGATAGAATTTTCTTCTCTCATTCTGTTTTCCTATTTTCTCCTCTTTTTTAATATATATTTTATTTCACTTTTTAATTATTTAGGTCATGAATATATATAATATCATATGGATAGAATTTTTTCAAAATATTTATAGATAAAAGATAAGTTTGACTCTAATTCAAATTCTTTCATCAAATTTATATCCTACTCAAAGATGTTTCAAAAAAAATAAAATAAATTAAACTATAAATCTCAAAACCTTACTTCTATGACAATATGAAATTGGACAAAAATATTAGAAAACAAAAGAACCCTGCACAAAAACTAAACAGGCGATTTAACCAATCATGCAAGATTTTTCTTATGTGAAAAGAAATATATATTTGAAATCTCATATTACGTTTTTTGTTCTATTTTTTCTTTTGCAGATTTTTTTGTTTGTTTTAGTTTAGTCTATTTGGTGTATTTCATTTTTTTTTCTTCATAACTAAATTAATTGTTGAAATTATAATAATATAGTAGATGCGCTTGTGCCTTCAAAATTTATTATTCATTTTTTAAAAATTTTACAACGACAACGTATAGGGAAAAAGTAGCAATGGCAACAAAGAGCTAAAAGACCAATACAAAGAGTGATGTTTTGTGATGCAGTTGGAGTTCACCCATTTTTTTTAAAGAAAAATTGTACCAATCGAGAAGAGTATTTGGAACACATTCACGAGTTTGAAAGAAGTTTTTATTCAATCTCATTTATTTTTTATTATATTTTGTTCTTCAATTATATTAATTTATGTGTTCGATTTTGTTGTAATATATAAGGAGGGCACTCAATTTAAATTCAGACGCAAATAAACTTAATTATATAGTAGCTCTAAAATAATTTTGCTTCTATTTTTCTTTTTTTTTATTTGAAATCTTCATGAGTTTAAATTTGTTTCTTTGCATATATGTAGTGAGTAGGATTAAGTTTTTAAATGATAAGTTTCACTTTTGCAGTAAAAAGTCAACTGCACAAAGGAATATTTGAAGCATAAGATTGGATTTCAAAATCCTTAATAAATATACAAATAAATTACTTTGTTTTCAACTCATAATACTCTTTATATATATATATATATATATAAAATAAGGGAAGAGGGTTTTTGAAAATATATAAAAATGTATCAGAGATACATTTTGATTTAATGGCTGAGATTAATCATAAAAGTATATTAACGGTACAAATCAATGTGATTCCCGCTCAAATATCTCTCCCTCAGCCTTCCACCTACCCACGTCTCTCTCTCCCTCTCACCCACGTCTTCTCCCCATCTCTCTGTTCTTTTTCTTTCCTCTTCATACTGACGCTGCTCGCTTCTCCCCTTACAACCATCCCTTATCGCTCGGCTTGCAAGGTAAGATGTCCCCGATTTCTATCTCTCCCCTTCTCCCTCTGTTTTGATTTCTGATATTTCTTTTTGCCTGTACGACGCTTTGGTGCTGCTCTCGAACTCTTTCTCTATCAGGTGAAGGAGATTCCAAGATTCAAAGTGAAGAACCCTAATCGCGAGTGAACTAAAACCTTAATTTCACTTAATTTTGAAGAATCCTTGACTGCTACTAATTGTTTGAATCCATAAGTGTAACTCCCACAGCTTCTGTGATAGATTGGGGTAAATAGGTTAATTAGTGGAACATATTTTTAACTCCTATTTTTGTCATTTAATTTCAGCTTCTGTGATAGATTGGGGTAAATGGGTATTTAATCGTCTGGTTTAACATCATATTGAAGCATTTTTTTCTTCTTCATTCCCACCCCCTGGCAGACATGAAAAGATATGCACAGTTTAGTGAGTTGCATATTTTACTAATCACAGAAAACATGATTTGGCTACCATTGTGAATATAGTTTGCATGTGTTTTAGACCCATTGTTTATTGTATAATTTATATTAGATCTGCAGCTCTTTTCCAATAAGTTTGCCTTATTGTACTGAGTGCTTCATACATGCACTATTTTTGATCCATTATTTATAGATCTGCATGATGGATTAATGAAGAAATTAATTGTTGTAAACCAAGGTAGTGCCACAGAATTTTAGTAATTCAGTAAAGGGGAAATTGCACCAATGATATGTAACGCCCTCAAAATAATAACATTAAACCCATCAAATAAGACATTCATTGACATATGAAATAACCATATTCTTCTATTCATCAGAGTTTCATTACAAAAGTATTACATGTTAACAACAAAAGCAAATGCCCTATGGGCTTACAGCTTTCCAAGTTAACACTTGGTTACAACAAAAGAGTGCTAACTCATCTACACATTAAGCCCTCGGCTTGTATATACATGTAATACATCAAAAAGGAACTAAAACAACAACAATCTGCTCGCCTCTAGCCTTCCAAGCTATGTCCTTGGAGGTGGCATGTTACCTGTACCTGAAAATGATATTCCCATATAGGGTGAGCCACAGCCCGGTAGAAATACACTAAACCAACCATGAACAATGACTAAAAGATTAGCAATTGATAGATGGCCAACACTGATACATTCACATAAATCACATATTTATGTCATACGACTTATGAGGCCAAGTTACTTTTCATTTCCCTTTTTCAACAGATAAGCATATTAGCTCTATCATCATTTCAACAGATATGTATAAAAACTATATCCCACACTCACAGATAAGCATACAAGCTATATCCACACTTCACAAAGATAAGCATATGAGCTCTATCTTCACTTCTCTAGACAAGCATATGAGCTGTATCTACGGAGTTCATCCCCTATCTTCTCCCAATACTATCTGGTTTAGAGGTATATCCACCATCTTCCCCTAAACCGTGGAGTACATCCCCCATCTCCTCCTCTACACATAACGTATACAAACACATTGGTTCTATATACAATCACTCAATACATACAGTTAATGTATTCTATCAACCGTCAAATTCCATGACACATTCCATTGATTAGTTTCCGTTTGCCTAATCATCATGCATTGTCTACAACAATCACGACTATCCTCCACCGATAGCCCAAAGCAGTTATTTCTAAACTGAAAATAACTATGTCAACAATTCAATAAACAAATGATTCAAATTACTGAGAGTCCTATAAAATGAACTGTTCAGATTATCGGAAAAAAATCGATATTAAATTCACTTGTAGTGTCAAAATAATTTCGAACCAAAACTGTTTAATTTTTTACACGAAAAATTTAGTCCCAACGTGATCGTAATTCAACACTAAATTTCTGATTTTATCGCTAAAAAAACATTATTGACACTGAATAGAATCGTCTGTTGTGATATCTTAAACCTTGGGCGAC